ATAATAATATATATATATATATATATATATATATATATATATATATATATATATATATATATATATGTTGCATTTCTAATGGCTAATTTGAAACTAATAAATATATTTTAGGACTAAACATTAGTCGCTTGTCAGATTTGTAGTTTCCCCTACAACAGTTGTTGGATATATTGCTGTAAGTGCGCGTTGATTCTTCGCTATACTTTGCACTGTGTTGATTTTAGGTCAGTTTTGTTCTAAAATTTCTATGCTGACTGAGTCGTATTTCATTTTGTGAGGTGGAGAAGTGCCACTGTAAAAGCATATTACCAAAAATTACTATTGGAAAGGCAACCCGTACGTGTTTTTGAATGGTACATATAGTATTACAGGCTCATGTTTGGGACCGTTCTTCCCTTGTTTTGTTGGCTAGATGAATAGAATTTATCAAGCCGCCTGTCGCTAAGTCTACCATATGCTATCGATATATCCCTCGGATGCCTCAGCCCTCTATTATTGTTCTCTTTGTTCTATATCAGTAGTGCTTTTTGCACTTTGTCTATCACTTCTCTTTACCTACATTATTACGACTGCACGTACTGTCAGGGTTATAATACGTCTTAGCGCCATAATCAGTCCTCAAGTGGTCAGAATCCGGAAGTCAATGTCGAAGTCCCTGAACAGATCAAACTACGAAACGGCGACTGTATGGTCTCCGTAGACAAAAATGATGGTAAATTTGATGTTTCTGCGGATAGTAATTCTTTTGCTGAAGATATTTCGCTGGATAGACTTAGTTGCAGATACAATATGTAATTCATGCATAATTTAATCCCTTTACGGGTTTAGATTATGCCACTCTCATCCTCGGGTTTTGATTCGGTGTTCTGCTCTCACTAATGTTTGTTATGTTGCAGTTCGTGTTCACTATTTTCCGTTCTTGACATTCGTTATTGTTCGGGATGTGTCGTTATCGTCTTTTACTTTCCGTGGTAAAGTTTCGTGCTTTTGGTCTATCTCTCTTTGATTATAGGTTGTTCGGACAATTGTTTTTTGACTACTGCATTTCATTAGAATTTATTTCGCGGTCACTGTTACAAGTTTTGCTCTGATGATTCCAACCTTGATGTCAAACTGTTTTGGCAACATTTATCCATTCCTTCTGTAAATCTCGAGTGTTTATTTCCATACTATGTCTTTGACGTATTTATTTAGCTGTTGCGCTACCTTTCATGTAGATTTACATGGAATAAAATGAAGTCATTGAGGGGAGGGAGAGAGGGGTAAATGGTGGCACATTTCAAAAAAATAGAATTTGTAGCAAGCACATTTTATAGGTTCAAACGCTGTCAGACTGAGATGACTTAGTGAAATGTCGTTGAAATGATTGAAGGATAATTTAAAACCATCCCTTCATAATTTATGGGAGGAGGAGGAGGAGATAAAGTATTTAGCCAATGGAAGGGAGTTTACTGGTTTCGAAGAGGGGTATTAAATTTGAAGCCTTCTACGGTATACAAGCGTTTCATACATGAACTCACTACGTAATATTCTCAGTGGGGCCTCTTGCTCGGTGATATTTAATGCGGCGAGATGGATGTATAGAAATTCGGTTACGGTTACCTATGTATGAAAACTACGTTGGGCCGATGATACTCGTGTTGTTTTGATAAGATGAAAGAGGCACAAGGAATTTTCCCACAACGAATGCAATTGCTTCAACAGTGGTGTAGTCATTTGTATTCGTGCTGTATATGGCACATAAACTGGAAATTGTCAACAACCAGCAAACTGCTCAACATTAGCTTAAGCAAATTACTGAAATCCGTTTACAGCTTCATAACTAATTTACTTGAAAAGAGAAAACATTTTGGCGCTAGCACCCTCCACCAAACTACTAACATTTGTAACTGCTTGAGTAGCGTTGTCAATAAGTGCGTGGTTACTGATCGACGTGTTTGCATGACTGGAAGCATTGTCATTTAATGCACAATTTGCCTCCTCGATTTGCAGTCTTCTCGTTATCGACTGGTATCTTTTGCTGTTGAGTCGTTCATCATCAACACCTTGTAATTCCGAATCGGAATATATTTTCTACAAATTACAATGTCGCAGTAATAGGTTTCGTGTAAGTCACACACTTGCCAGTATTTTGCTTCAACAGTCGTAAAGGTCAAAAAAAAATCGGGAAATGGTTTACTTTTTGCAAAAATAGTATGCTATTAAACATTAACTACCAATCCGGTAAAAAGAAAACATTTATTGTTCAGTTAAATTTACCTTGACCATGAAAGAAAGACACGTTAACTGATACTGAGAAAGGGATTGCTGAAGCCTTTCGGTCAACCAATCATTAAGCATTTTCATCTGGCCCTCGTACCAATGCTAAAAAAATGATTTTAGCAAAAAACACCCATGGTGAAAAAAGATCCTTCTCAATTTCACAACCAGATCAATAGAAATAAAAGTCTGGCTTCGTTATAATCTGCAAAGAGCCGTCAAAAAGTATTTACTTGCTCAAATCATCGTTTTATTCTAAGTTTTACATCTACCTTTCTTGTACTCAATGCCACCAATTCAGAGTGACGTGAAGCAATTAAATAATTACTTCAAACAGAGCATTGATCCACAGCTCGTCGACTACAACCTGCCTCAACTGCTCTGTACAAATCCGCATGAAAGTTACATAAGAATGTCCGTAATGACCTGAGTTCTGAGGTTGGCTTGCAATCAGTTTCTAAAAAAGATCAAGCAGTTCTGATTTATACAATAAGCTGTGGTTTCTGCACTTTCCTTCAAATTCATGCATTCCTTAGATGTATAAAATAATATTTCATAAAATACTGGGTTTTGTGGCGATGATGCAGAGCTACTCGTTAAATTACCATGATCACCAACTATATTTTTCATCTTGTTGAAGATAGTTGTCGGCTTCGGCTGAAATAACTTTCAGGAAGAATGTAAATCAACCACAGAATTTCTATGAGAAAAAGTTCCAAGAAATTAAGTTGCTAAAACGCACTGCGATGGAGAGAATCGCGCCAATCGGATTCCCCTCGTCATAACGAGCTAATCGAGATAGAACGTATTCCAAAACCGACAATAACTGAAGCAATTATACTTTATTTACTTGAAATACCTTCAGTTTACTATGTTGAGTTTCAAAGAAAAACGTCGACAAATCAAGACCTTACCACCAACTTAAGATTTCCTGCTATCCGGTCAATTACATCGGTTATAACTATATGTAGCTCCATAAAGAGGTTAAAAATATTTATCAATTTGTTTCTTAATTTACTTGCTGGTTTAGTTGTTGATTTTTCTTTGCACTTAGGATTTAATGAATACTCTATGCTACAAGTCAAGATTAAACCTTGTCTTCAATACATGTTTTCATATCTTTCAGCATAGTATCCAAAGTTTCGTCCAGTTTCGACTGGTATTTATACTAAAAATAAAAACTGATGGTAAAAATCAAAATAACTGCACATTTCTTGTCGCTTAAATGAGTTAAAATAACTGCAGATGATGTCTTAACCGCGTAAAATGAAAAAAAAAAGACAGCAAATACCTAAAACTTTCCAGCAAAAATTTACTAAATTTAGTAAAAATTCACTGGAAACAGAACATCCAGTGTCCCTTACATAAATGATCAATAATAAAAGTTAATTATATTTTTAAAGTTACTTGACCTACTTACACACTTTACTTGTTCAGATGAAAAGTCTTTACATCGCAGGGAACTAGTAAATGATGGGCCAGTATGTGATCTATGTCGATGGATAAACCCTATAAAGTGACTGATCTAATTTACGTTTTAACGTTGGGCCTGTAAAAGTAACAGAAACATTTGTGAGCTGCCTTGTTAACTCTTTAAGTTGAACAACAACATCCCAACGTTGACTTCAACCAACAGATAATTTCAATTATTTGTTTGCTAATTAAAATATACACACTTCTCCCGAATCTATTGCCATTTTTGCCGCTCGAGATTTCGATGAGAAGATTACGTTGATCATGACGCACACTTCTGAAGGCAAGACATAATCCGTTGATTTTCGTGCGCGCTGCATGTACGAATCAAAACACTGGTAAGTACTGGAACAATTCAGATTAATCCAACAGAAAGTAATGAAGTGTACTAAATCATGTCGCTGACTTTTGTCAAACTTCCAAACATACCAGTTTGTGCATTTGCTGATCATTTCGCTCGCTAAGGTTTTCATTCTGATTTGCAAATACTTTGAAAACTCTTCCTCTGGCCAATTTAAATCATTTATAAAATTTTGCAAAGCATCCAATTTCCAGTAAGTATCTTCCGATGTTGCACAACCATCTCTAAAGAAATTTTGAACATATCAAATGAAATTTGAAAATGTTTGGTAGATACAAGTCCACGTCAAGAAATGTATCTGATATTAAAGTGCAGTTGTATAAATAGAAATCAAAACACGCATCTGCTCAAATCAAGAAATTACAAGCTTACTTGCGTACTTCCCATCTTTCTCGTGCGAAACCCCTCTCGATAGACTGGGCTATTGACTGCTCCATTAAGTCAACATAACGTACTACTTTAGTTGAGAATTGCTGGATCAATTTTGTATGGAAAATGCCGTTCTTGAGATGAGCTACAAACAAAAAATTGCACGAAATATAACCTGCGAAGGCGTTAGTCCATATTACAACCCAGATATGTTTTTGTACGTAGTTGCATATACAAAATTTGTCACTGAACTTACTACATGATGTAACTACGACCCGATAAGATGCTAAATGCGCAATATATTCTTACATTAGGATATAACAGTGACCGGAAAAAGCAAAAATTTTAATGTGAGGCAGAGAATGACTACAATGATTCAATGGTCATCAAGCATTGCCTGGAGACGGCATTTTCTTTTTATACCATTAGAACTGATAAACTTTAAAAAAAGGAGATGGAGAAACGCCAAAAGGTAAAATTTGCTATGTGGATCCCTCTGTACAACATGAACTACTCTATACATAGACTTCGACAGTAAATCAATTGTTAACCGAATTAATCGAGACAATTTAAGTCTTATCATTTTGTAAGGAAATTACTTAAAAACAGTTTTCCAAGACAATTATTGCAACTTACAGTTGCTACTCAAAAAATCATTCAGTTGTTGGAACAATGGAAATGAATCCCACGAGTCCGGTGGCTGCACATTCAACGCTGCATCCAAATCCACCGAATAAAGTGACCAAAATATTTCTGAATGGTCAGCAAGAAGGTCACTGAACCAAGTGAATGCCTGTAGGCAAATTACGTGGTTGTAAAAACTTGTAAAAAAGCGATAACACGAAAACTAAAGTAACCTGGAAAAAAGAAACAGATTTCTAAACAAAATAAAAAACATACATCACCATGATGTTCTTCGTTTTCTCGTAACAAATCAATGCAAAATTCTGTAACCCGTATCATGTCTTCAATCCTCTGCTGTGGACTAACATCCATACCCATACGCTCTAGAAATTCTACCACTGTAACGACTGCACCAAAAATACAGTAGTAAAGTTTTACAAACTCTGTGTAAACCAAGGAAATTTTTTCGGATCTGAATTTGTGCAATAAAGACGTCACAACTATTTGCATTTGACAAACAAAAAATAGCCTACCAATATTTTTTGTTTCTTAAATGCAAACAATTGTGAACAACATTTCCTAGCATTTCTAAATCATTTCTTTATCTTAACAAGTAATTCAGTGCTATATAACAAGAACGAGCGCTTTCGGAAATCTAAGAAGGCATGTTCTGTTATCCCTCAAATGCAGCTTTTTGTTACAATAAAAGAGAAAGTGTCCCTAACCAAAGCTATGTTATCCATGTTTTCAACGTCATTCACTGAATCCTTGCAATACTATTCTTTTTGAAATTTTCTGCCTTAACGACTAAAGTATGCTCTTGAAAACAGCACTGCATGCAGAATGCATAACTGTTTATTGGAGTGACCTTTGTAAAACCTCACGCTCAAGCTTTGCTTCATTGCAGATTCGAGTATAATTAACTAAGGCTGCATCTTGAAGGCATTTCCGGATGACGTTCCGAACTTCTTCTGGAGGCACTGGTGAAGCAACGTCTTTCATTAGGACCTATACAGTACATTAGATCATAGCTGCTATCAAACAGCGATAGACATTGTCGAATAACAAAAAACATAAAAACAGTGAGATTATTAAAGAAAATTATATTAACCCTTTCAAGTAATGACAACGTTCCTTTCAATGCACCCTCAGGTCGACCAAAAGGAAAACAATACCTGCAAATCCT